GTAAAGTAAATAAGGTTTTTAAAATGTTTAAGAAGCTTCATTTAAAATTAAATTAAAATGCAGAGCCCCCAGGACCCCGGGCAGTGTGAGTGTCACTGAAAATCAGCTCGCGTGCCGCATTTGGCATGCGTGCCATAGGTTGCCTACCCCTGGCATAGAGAGACTGAAGCTGATCTAACTGACTGTAAAAGTAGTGCTCTATGTGGTTAACTCCAATGAGCTATCTTGGGACTAGAATAGTTATTGGTATTCCCACTCCATTTTGGACAAATGATTTGGGTTGTAACTGTAATAGCTTTGAATTCCCCTGTTGCTAGAGCAACACAGCTGTTCTCTCAACAGGAGTTACTGCAGGGAAATTAGAAATGAAGGAAATATGAACTTCTCTGCAGTCATTCTCCTTAACTTCATAATTTTACATCCTGCCAAGGTACCTTAAATATGATCTGAAAAAACCACGTATGGGGATAAAAGTGTAAATAAATCTGTCCATTTAGTCCTTTGCCTCTTTGCTGGGACTACCAAGTGTGGTGCTTGGTAATGCAGACACTTGCCTGCTAGGAACTGACCTGAGATTGTCAACTCATTTGATGCAGGGCATCAAACTCCTATTGAAGGGTAGCTGCTTTTACTCACTATTAACCTGGGATAGATCTGAACCACAAACCTGGAGGCACACAGCTCTATTGCCTGTCCCTCCCAAACCCTCCACTGCCTCTGTCCAAACCTGAACATGTTACAGTACTAAATAGCTGAAATCTTTCTCTCCATTCTTTTTTTTTTTTTTAAAGAAAATGGAGTGATTAAATCTCAACGGGTCTTGGATGTGTTAATGGCCACAGATAGAGCCCACTACACCAAGTATTTACCATACATGGATTCTCCTCAGTCAATAGGTAAGAAATTTGTAGCAGATTGACACTTTTACGGTATGTGTAATGGCTGCACTAATCTCAGTGATTGAACAGTGGAGGGAAGACACAGGGTGAGTTTGTAGGTCTTGGTTTACTATGCTAACAAGTCTTGCCTGTATGGAATAGTGTCAAGAATGGGAAAGGGGGACAGTTCATGTGCACTCTTACTGCTGGCTCATCAAGAAGAGTATCCGCATGGGTCTACTCGAGGGTTTCTTTGGGAGAAATATAAAAAGGATCTGCCCTTTGGAGGCTGGGAATGCTCAGATATGATCACGGGGTCACTGTATTTGAAGAACAAAACTCTTTATGAAGTGAAGAAAGAATAAATGGTATGAAGATTAGCCCTGATCGTTGATAGACCATTGTTTCTTGACACAAGGTATGTCTACATATAGGGCAGTGTATGGTGTACTGACACTGCATGTCCCGCTGGCATGGGTATAAATAGCAGTGGAGATAGTGGGGCATGACTCGGGCAAGTAGAGTGCCCAATATGCCTGAACCCTAGGCTTATATACCTTACCAGCTCTCTACATGCCCAAGCGGTGCCTCCCACATCTACATGGCTGTTTTTAGCAGTGCAGTGTCCTGTTTCTGAAGCATTTCCCTGCTGTAGTGAAAGGTTCCGGCAGCTCCCTGACCCAAGCCTTTCATTGCTGCATGTAGCTACACACTGTAGTGACAAGTGTGGATACAGGCTGCAGTGAAAGCAGGCTGAAGCTAAATATGTAGTGAGTATATACTATACACTGCTGTAAGTGTAAACAAGACAACAGATAGTTCAAAAAGCCATTGGTGTGAATTTCAGAAGTGCAGTGCACCCACAAATCCAGTTGACTTCAGTAGGAATTGTGTTGTGTATACTCAGTACCTCTGAAAATAGTCGTTTGTGAACCAGAAAAGAGGAAAACCTTAAAACATCTGTAGATTCAAAAATTAAATAGATAAATGCAAACAGTATAAACTCAAAGGAGAAAATAGTAAACAGTATTTCTGTATGCCCTGAGTAAAGTATTCGATGCTCTCAGGAACTTGATTGTGATACTTAGCACGAAAGCCTCCTTGAAATAACTCTTTCCTTCCACATGCAAAGTCAGAAAATGGGATTTTTTATTTTTTAAAAAGGATGGCTGCAAGATGAGAGCAAAAATCCTGACTGTGCAATATCATCCATGGCACCTATCCCCTTGAATCACAAGACATGTTTGAATGGGGGGAGGGGATGTTAGGGGAAATAAAAATTTTTGGTTAGACTGTAGAATTCCTGTATTTGAGGGATGAAGCCATTTTGTGACTTGCTCATTCATGAATGTCCACATTAACTGAATAATTTCCATGAAAATATTATGAATGGTGCATATAACTGATATGACTGCAGCTAAACACTATACCGGGGTAGCCAACCTGAGCCTGAGAAGGAGCCAGAATTTTACCAATGTACATTGCCAGAGACCCACAGTAATATGTCAGCAGCCCCTCCATCAGATCCCTCCCCCTTCCTACCCCCAGCACCTCCTGCCCACTGGTAGCCCCACCGATCAGCACCTCCCCCTCCCTCACCATGCCTCCTGCCCACCACAATCAGCTGTTTCACGGCGTGCAGGAGGCTCGGGGTGGGGGTGGAGGGGAAAGAAGTAGTGAGGGCACAGCAGGCTCGGGGGGAAGTGGCAGGAGCCTTGGGGAAGGGGTGGAGTGGGGTCAGGGCCTGGTTCAGAGCCAGGGGTTGAGCAGTGAGCACCCCTGGCACATTAAAAAGTTTGCTCCTGTAGCTCCAGCCCCAGAGTCAGCATCTATGGAAGGAGACGCATATTAACTTCCAAAGAGCTGCATGCGGCTCCGGAGCCACAGGTTGGCCATCCCTGCACTACACCCACACTTTTTTGTTTTAGTTTTACTCCATTCTATGAGACAGGTTTTTTTCGTAAGTCACAAAGCATAGTAACCATACTGCACATTGATATTTCACTCATGCATGCTCAGTCCTGAAAGCTTCCCTCGCAACTTGGTCTACATCAACATTTTAAATAAACAACTGGAGCTGAAATCTCTGTCACTGAGGTATCTCAACACAGACATCTAAATTTCCTCCACACACATACATCTGTAGCACAGGCAGATACTGTTTGTAGCTTTTCTTCCTCCTCTCCTGAAATCTTGAGGGGTGAACCTTGAATTATTATTATCCATTCTAAGACTTCTCCCTGCTGCCTCCACTACCACCTTTCTATTGATTTCTCAAACAACTTATTTTTCTACACCAAGCATATTGAAATATCTGTTTGATTTTTTTGTTGGTCTTCTATTTTGAGTGTATCCACTTTGTGGCTTAATGCTAGACAATTTGTTATATTACAGTACTTAACTATTTTTTGTGAGTGTTATGCCCCCCTTCCTTACGAACAAACTCGTAACAGGTCAATTCTGTGCTCGGAATTCTTATTGATTGGAGTGGCTGCAAAAGTGGGCTCTAAGCAGCAGAAGATCTGTCTTGATTGTGAATGAGCCTGAAAAGTTGTGTTGATTGGAACACTTAGGTGGTGATTGGAACAGTCAGGAGCTGAAATATTGCTCTTAGCTGCTTTGCTGTCATTAACACCCCCTAGAGGAGGTAGTTTAAGTCAGTACATCACCTCAGATAGGTGGGAGAACAGAAAAGGTTTGCGATATTGAAAGAAAAATAAAAACAAACAGTTTAGAGGAGGTAATAGTAATTATTCAGACATGGTCATAATTTCATATTACTTGTGTTTAACGGTCAGTGGTTTCTTTTCAGGATATAAGGCTACAATCAGTGCACCCCACATGGTAAGATAAACTTTCCGTTCTATTCATAGACTTGGAGGATAGCTTTAATTTAAAAGATGTAATAGCAAGTTGACGTAGGTCTAATAAACATGAGCATTGGACACTGCCTTGTACCGCATGTCATTTATTACTGGTGTCCTGTACAACTGTGTGAAATACTTACAGTTTTAAGGAAGGACAGTCAACCTTGAAAAATCAATTGTTAGCCTTAGTAAGACAGAATTATTGTTTAAAGTGAAGTTTTCTATTTTTTCAAGAGATCCTCTTCCTTCACAAGCCAGATATTTTCTGCTACACATTCCACTAGTTAAATTCATATTCCTAACAACTTTCAAAGGTGCTGTCATCAGAATGGTTTTACAAACTCAACATTGGGACATCACTGCAAAATGAGTCCTTGGAAGGAAAAAGTTCTGTTTTTAAACATAATATGCTTGCACAATTAACACAATTCTGACTGGAAAAACTGGGGGAGGGGCATGAGAGAAATTAATATCTCTGTGTGAAAGTGTGCATCATGATATCATCTTGGTGGTGTTATCCCCATAGCATGCCCATGCTCTGGAGTTGCTGAAGGATCAGCTAGTGGAAGGAGCAAAGGCCCTGGATGTGGGATCAGGAAGTGGTTACCTCACAGCTTGCTTTGCTAGAATGGTGAGCAAAGTATAAGATTATTTGCTTCTTCATATTTATCTCAAGCAAAGAGAAGTAATCTGCAACAGTAAAACACCCTTTACAATGCACAATCTCTGTATGCGCATAATGAAGCATCTGTCTGTTTTCAGGTGGGTCCCACAGGGAAGGCAGTAGGCATAGAACATATTGAAGAGCTGGTTCATGAATCCATTAGAAATGTCAGAGAAGATGACCCAACTCTGCTCACTTCTGGCCGTCTGAAACTTATGGGTGAGCTCTGTAGCCCATGCCCTTATTGTTTCATTCCTGCACCTGAATGCATTGTAGCCTGGCAGTGCTTAGCCCTTACTGTTTCTGGAGACCTGCCTCTCTCAGTGGTTGGCATAATTTTTCTTTTTTTGGTAGTACTCAAGTGCTTGTCTCAGTATTATTAATTAAGAAAGAAACTATTTTTCTGTTGAATAACTTAATTTCCACAGGTAAGCGCAAATTAAAGGTTAGGTGGCTAATAACACTGACTGAAGCCATATATAATGTAGGCAGATGCCATTCAATTGATCCATCTCCAAACAGCTCTGTCAATACAACTTTCTCCTTATGGGTGTGCAACAACTCTTTTATTTTAGTACTAAGCCCCTCTTAAGTAAAGATTGCTGTTAATACCAAATAACTGGGCTTGGTTTTTGACCATATCTCCATTGGAAACTACCAAACTCTACTTCCGTTGTGACCCATCAGATTTAAATGTCGGTCTCTGGAGTCCTGTGTCTGCACTAACCTACTTTGTCATGTACGGTCTGTCCCAGCTCTGGTGTTTCCTTCCTCTAACGGTGTTGCCTGTTTCCAAAATCTATCTTCCTTTAAAAATTAACTTTATAGAGCAGCCTGTCTTAGGAGGCTTCTTGTAGAAATCCAAATTGCCATCACAATTGACATACAAAAGCCTTCTTCACATACCTTTCAAGTGAAAGGAAAGATAGAGGGTTCTCTAGGTTGAGTTGCCATATGAACAAGGATCTTCATTGCACATTCCCTCTCTGCAGTTGGAGATGGCAGGCAGGGATACCCTGAAGAAGCACCTTATGATGCCATCCATGTTGGAGCAGCAGCAGACACTGTACCAAAGGAGGTAAGAATTAACAGACATGGCATCTGTCTGTATTCATACCCTTACACCTGTGGCTGTAACAGATCTGGAATAGCTTCCTTTCTGTTCTATGTGAAGTTGGCAATCCTGTAAACGCCTTTGGTGGACATAATAGACCTTATAATCAGCTTTACTTTTGTCTTTCTTTCCTTGTTCAAACTGTTTCTGGTCCTTGCTGATATTGACTCCTCTGTTTGCCAGTTGCTGAAAGAGTTGAAGCCAGGTGGCCGGTTGATCTTGCCAGTTGGGCCTGAAGGTGCAAACCAGGTTCTGATGCAGTATGACAAAACCAGTGATGGGCAAATTGTGGAAACGCAACTGATGGGCGTGATCTATGTTCCCCTGACAGATAAGGAGAAGCAGTGGCCCCGGTAAAAAATAAGTTTCCCTGATTGTAATTAGTCTTTTGTTCCACTTGCCCTTATCACTGGCAAGATGTTGACAGAAGCTCATATCTCCAGAATCCTAGCAGATGCAGCCAGGAAGACGAAGGGAAGGGGCATACATGCTCGATCACAGCAAGAGAGCTGTATGCATCTCCTTGTATTTTAGAAACTAAAGAATAATGGAGCATGCTAGCTTCCATCACAATCTGGCCTTTTGTTTTCATAAGTATTATATTCATATGCATTATCATTGTAAAGGAAGATTGTGAATTTATTCACAGCACTAACACAGTTGCCTTTTTTCCACCCATAGGGATGAAGTTTGACAGAATATCACTTACAAAATGATCTTGGAAAGCTCATGAACCAGGCCCTGAAGAAGCAACTATAGATGTGTATGGCTTTGCTTTATAAATCAATTTTTTTTTTTAACTTGGACACATCACAAAGGCATTTTCTGCTTTTTAAAGAACTCAATACGGAGGAGTGAGAGAAGAATATTCCTCCAGATCAATCAGCACCCAGTTCCTAAGCTGTGGAGATCTTGTCTGATTTCTTCCTGGACTGAGTAAAACCAGATAAGCCCAGTTGTCCTCTTTGGTCAGCTCCACATACAATATCTATGTAAGAGAATGGAGAGTGTGCAATACTGTTACAGATTTGAGAATTCATCTGTATTGTACTTGATTAAATGGTAGTGCATTTATATTCATGATTTGCTCATCTGATGCCTGAAGAAAAATTACAGTATGTATTTGATCTGTTTAATCTTCTAGATTAAACATATTCTTTTCTCATACCCTTTTTGGTGAGCTAGTTAATCAGCTGTATGAACACACTATTCCCCTGATGAAGCCAGGACTTGGTGTTAGCAATCATGTATGCTTACTCAGAATTGAGATACAAGCTCCTAAGGCTTTCTCTTAAATTAGGCACTTCTTTTCAATAGAGGGGGAAAAAATGGGTATTATTTAAAATGAAACAGGCAGTATCATGTTTCATATGATACTGATTAGCACCATTGTTGTGGCATCTTTTCTGAAATTGGATTGTGCATGTTCTAGGAGCTGGAATTCTTTTCTCCCTTCAAATTGGGCCCTGAATGGTGGTGATCAAATTAATAGGGCTGAAATGAAGAAGCTCCCACTAGGGATGTAAAAGGGTAACAGGTAAGCATTAGGGTTAACGTTAACCGGCCTTAACCGTTAAGCCCTTGCACATCGGCCAGAGCAACCCCGGCTGCGCCAGCCGCAGGGACCCCACCACGCACTCTTCCCCCCCCCCCCCCCAGGGGGCCTGGCTGGAGGGACCTCGATTAACAGATATAATTTTAATCGTTTAACCAGTTAACTTTTAAAACAAAATGTACATCTCTAGCTCCCACTAGCATTTTATGCTGTACCATTCTCTAGGTAAAGGATTCATAGATTCTAGGGCTGGAAGGGACCTCGAGAGGTCAGAGTCCAGTCCCCTGCCCTCATGGCAGGACCAAATACTGTCTAGACCATCCCTGATAGACATTTATCTAACCTACTCTTAAATATCTCCAGAGATGGAGATTCCACAACCTCCCTAGGCAACTTCTTCCAGTGTTTAACCACCCTGACAGTTGGGAACTTTTTCCTAATGTCCAACCTAAACCTCCCTTGCTGCAGTTGAAGCCCATTGCTTCTTGTTCTATCCTTAGAGGCTAAGATGAACAAGGTGTCATAAGGAGGAGGGAGAAAACCTTTTAGATACACCTCTACCTCGATATAACGCTGTCCTCAGGAGCCAAAAAATCTTACCATGTTATAGGTGAAACCGCGTTATATCGAACGTGCTTTGATCCACTGGAGTGCGCAGCCACACCCCCCCGGAGCACTGCTTTACCGCATTATATCCGAATTCGTGTTATATCGGGGTAGAGGTGTACCTAAAAACTGCTATCATGTCCCCTCTCAGTCTTCTCTTTTCCAAACTAAACAAACCCAATTCTTTCAGCCTTCCTTCGTAGGTCATGTTTTCTAGATCTTTAATCATTCTTGTTGCTCTTCTCTGGACCCTTTCCAACTTCTCCACATCTTTCTTGAAATGTAGTGCCCAGAACTGGACACAATATTCCAGTTGAAGCCTAACCAGCGCAGAGTAGAGCGGAAGAATGACTTCTCGTGTCTTGCTCACAACACAACTGTTAATGCATCCCAGAATCATGTTTGCTTTTTTGCAACAGCATCACACTGTTGACTCATATTTAGCTTGTGGTCCACTATAACCCCTAGATCCCTTTCTGCCATACTTCTTCCTACACAGTCTCTTCCCATTCTGTATGTGTGAAACTGGTTGTTCCTTCCTAAGTGGAGCACTTTGCATTTGTCTTTATTAAACTTCATCCTGTTTACCTCAGACCATTTCTCCAATTTGTCCAGATCCTTTTGAATTATGACCTTATCCTCCAAAGCAGGTACAATCCCTCCCAGTTCGGTATCATCTGCAAACTTAATAAGCGTACTTTCTATGCCAATATCTGCCATTGATGAAGATATTGAACAGAGCCGGTCCCAAAACAGACCCCTGCGGAACCCTATTTGTTATACCTTTCCAGCAGGATTGGAAACCCTTAATAACTACTCTCTGAGTACGGTTATCCAGCCAGTTATGCACCCACCTTATAGTAACCCCATCAAAGTTGTATTTGCCTAGTTTATTGATAAGAATATTATGCGAGACTGTATCAAATGCCTTAAAGTCTAGGTATACCACATCCACCGCTTCTCCCTTATCCACAAGACTCGTTATCCTATCAAAGAAAGCTATCAGATTGGTTTGACATGATTTGTTCTTTACAATCCATGCTGGCTATTCCCTATCACCTTACCACCTTCCAAGTGTTTGCAGATGATTTCCTTAATTACTTGCTCCATTATCTTCCCTGGCACAGAAGTGAAACTAACTGGTCTGTAGTTTCCTGGGTTGTTTTTATTTCCCTTTTTATAGATGGGCACTATATTTGCCTTTTTCCAGTCTTCTGGAATCTCTCCCGTCTCCCATGATTTCCCAAAGATAATAGCTAGAGGCTCAGATACCTCCTCTATTAGCTCCTTGAGTATTCTAGGATGCATTTAATCAGGCCCTGGTGACTTGCAGGCATCTAACTTTTCTAAGTGATTTTTAACTTGTTCTTTTTTTATTTTAGCTGCTAAACCTACCCCCTTCCCATTAGCATTCACTATGTTAGGCATTCCTTCAGACTTCTCAGTGAAGACTGAAACAAAGTCATTAAGCATCTCTGCCATTTCCAAGTTACTGTTTCTCCCTCCTCACTGAGCAGTGGGCCTACCCTGTCCTTGCTCTTCCTCTTGCTTCTAATGTATTGATAAAAAGTCTTCTTGTTTCCCTTTATTCCTGTAGCTAGTTTGAGCTCATTTTGTGCCTTTGCCTTTCTAATCTTGCCCCTGCATTCCTGTGTTGTTTGCCTATATCCATCCTTTGTAATTTGTCCTAGTTTCCATTTTTTATACGACTCCTTTTTATTTTTTAGATCATGCAAGATCTCATGGTTAAGTCAAGGTGGTCTTTTCCCACATTTTCTATCTTTCCTACCCAGTGGACTAGCTTGCTTTTTGGCCCTTAATAGTGTCCCTTTGAAATACTGCTAACTCTCCTCAGTTGTTTTTCCCTTCAGTCTTGAGTCCCATGGGACCTTATCTATCAGCTCTCTGAGCTTATCAAAATCCGCCTTCCTGAAATTCATTGTCTCTATTTTGCTGTT